GCCCGGTGAGGAGGCGGCGGTCCCCGGCAGTCCCGGGCTGGGCTCTGCAGCCGCCCGGGCCATTGCTCTCCCAGGGGTCCCTGGGCATGGGCCGCGTCAGTTCAGTGCCTCTCGGAAGAAGAGTTCTTCTGGCCCAGTGTTTGCGACTGATTTTAAGAAAATTAAGGAGCAATTTTATGTTATTTTGTTGGTGTATCTCTAGGAAAGACAGCAGGTGGAGAGGTGAACTTGTAACTTGTGCGGTCACAGCAATAGCGTTGATTGCATCCCAAGACTTATGTTGGTTTTGTGTGGGTGTTGACATCAGTCATTTGTGAGGTTTATGAACGTGCCAAATCCTTGAAAGACATCTATTCGAAAGTCGCCATTAGCCGCTCAGATTTACGGTAATATTTCTGTGGGGCTTCTTGTATTTTAAAGCATGAGTGTGGTCAGTCAAGTGTGTTACTGTATTATTTATTTCAGGTATGTGGGCGCATTCAATGACAGTTCAAGATTACCAGGATCTCATAGACAGAGGATGGCGAAGGTAATTTTAAAAAGAAAATACAAAACCGTGTTGTCAGTTTAGATACAATTTAGAATCCAGATTTAAAATTTAGGGCTGTGAAAAGAGTTACCTAGTTTCCATAAGTAATTGAAATAGAACTGCTTGTCCACTGCTCTGCAACTTTTTGTAACATGATGCTGTCGAACAGGAATATGCTCAGTTATTGTAGAAAGATAGTCTTTTAGTATAGCAGCAAAAAGCTGAAGAACTTGCTTCTTGACTTTTGTTAGCTATCATATTATACTTTGATATTGTTTTAACAGAAAAGGTTGGTCTTCCATTTATTTTGTAGTATGAGTAAGAAAAAAATCAATCCATATTTATTATTATTTTTAGAAGTGGAAAATATGTCTACAAACCTATCATGAATCAAACGTGTTGTCCTCAATACACGATAAGGTAAGAAGCTCAAAATATACTACTGTAAGTGATCTGACCATTTGCGTTTACTGCTTGAAATACAGAATACTTGAAAAGTTTGTTGACTTTTAATGATACTTTGAACGCTAAATATGTGGTGTTGGGTTCGTGCACAGGCACATCAGCGGCTCGGTGACATGTTCCTGTAAGCAGTCTGCTAAGTTTGTACCCTTGCCTTTTGCTTCTGGGTTGCAATCCAATGCAAGAGTCTGTGATTGCTCCCTTGCTCACTGGTTGCGGGTGAACCAGTTTGTCTGTACCCCACAAACACTGCTTTAGTAGCCCAAATAAGAGAGGCTGTCTGTTGAATAGGTATGAAGAATTGTAGATACGCTTCTCCGGCATTTGTAGTTAGTATCAATGCTGCATCTATAAGACGGATGAGAAATTCTAGTATATTAGCCTCCTACGAAAGCTTTTTTATGCAGTGCTTGAGGTCACCTTGGCGTATTTTAGTGATTATAGTGATATGCACACAAAACATGCCATAAAGAATGATATTATGCAGTACAAGGCAACATAATTTTATTAACTCAAAAGTGTTGATAAAATATTTGACCACTTAATATAGAGAAACTTAAGAAATAATTAGAAAGTACACATACAGTGTAATTTTTTAAAGTGGTTCCTTAACTTTTTTTTTTGAAATAATTTTTCACAGAAGACATGGTCATAATTTTTTCTTTTTAAGGTGCCAGGCTTTGTGTTTTCAGACCTCCAAATCTCACAAGAAAGTTCTGAAGAAAATGTTGAAATTTATTTCCAAAGGAGATGTTTCGAAATTAGTGAGTGAAGGTAAGACATTCTTAGTGTTTGAAAACCAACGCTGATGTTTGAAAGGAGGATAAAGTACCTGCTCGAGCGATCAGATGGCTAAAACGCTTTGATTTTTGTACATAGACCCCTTTAGAAAGGTCTGGGTAGGTTGTATCTTCACAGCGTGTTTTGAATCAAGAGCACTGTGTAGCCCAGAGACCAAATTGTGCAGCTGACTTGCTCTGTTGAAGAATATCTTTCTTTCCTTTTTGTGTAGAGCAGCTTACTTTCTTTTTCATCTCTGGGCACTTGCTTGCTTTCTAGCTGGGTGCCGTAGAGCATTAGATCCTGTTTTTATCTCTGTCATAAAAGTGATAATCTGGAGAGGACTAAGGAAGAGCAGGCAAGGAAAAGAAGGTTTTTCTTCCAGGTGATTGAACAGTCACACCCCATTTATCCAACACCAAAACCAGCTGTTCTCAGTTGTGGTGGAATTTGTTGTGTTGGTTCTGAATCATTATAATTTGCCTCGTGTGTGTGTGTGTGTGTTAGGTTTTTTGGATCTTTTTGTTGTTGTTGTTTGTTTGAAGTTAGTTGACTGCACCTTTTTAGTGGAGAAAATAAAACTGTTCTTACAAGTGAGTTGGTGCTAGTAATTCGGGGTCGTAAAGGAAGCTTTCAGTTTTCAGACTACTGCAAACAGTCACTTTATCTGTTGGAAAACAATTGTAAAATTGGAAATGAGTTAATCTAATGTTAATAGTGCAAAGCGTGAGCTGGGGTTATACAGAGAGAAATTCACTCATGCAGTTTTTAATTATTTACAGAAGAGCCCATGGATTCCCATATAGATGATGTGGTCGCGTGCGATTTTGCATACAAAAGCGAATCTCATGTCAGTCAGTCTGAACTGACTCCCTTGAGCGTGGATCACACGGAGAGGGTGGAGAATGAAGATGAGGACACAGGAGAAACAAAAGGAGAGGTGAATGTGCAGAAGGTGGAAGCAGGTTCTCTTCAGAGATGTGCAGATAAAGACACGCCGGTCCCTGGAGAGCCATCACGTACGGCTAAAATTGTTCATGCACCACCTAAGCCAGGTAGTCAAATTTCTGGTAGTAATTGGAGTATACTATGGATGGTTTCGCGTGTTGTTGATGTCCTCCTTTTTATCTTGCCTAGTAAATCAATAATTGTTTCTCCTTGAGTTGGAGACTCTGGTCGTGCAAGACTGAGAGCTGGATACAGCTCTGGCTGGTGCTGCAGGAGTGCTAGTTACTGAGTTAGGTTAAGGCTTAACCTTGTCTCTTGTGCAGCAGTAGGAAACTAGTTTAAGACCCCAAAAAAACCACCCTAGGTATTGTTTTTTCACATTTATTCATTTCTGCAGGCCATCTTGTTGTAATACAGTTTGTGTTGTTTACACCCTGTGAATAACTTGTTTAAGACTATTTTTTTTACGCTTTCATAGACTATTTGCCACAGATCTAACTGGCATTGGAAATACCTTCAGTATGTGGTTGTGTTTGTTATTTTGTAGGCTTAAAGAAAATTGTACAGCTTTCTGCTGTTTAAAAAAAAAAGTACAGATTTTTCTGGTTCTCTATAAAGAATGACATTTTCTACTTGAGCTTTTTTATCTGTTTGGGAGCTTGCCTTGTTTTAGATTTTGGCTGACTTTAGATTAGAAAAGCAATGTCACTAGAGGATGTGAAATTATGAAAAACTGTAGTAATTTCTCCTTTTTTCTTCTTGCCGTGAACTTAATATTGTATTTCTGCAAGGAAGTGCAGTAAGTATGTACAAGAAGTAAGGCGATCTACCTCATTTTACTTCTGAGGCATTTATACAATGCTACAGCTCTCATGTGCCAAAAACTGAAGGTAAATGCTTATTCATTTCTACAGTTTTGTGTGAAAGTACATGGAATACTGGTGGCATTTTTAATATAATAATTTTTAGTATAATACTAATTTTAATAGTATGGTCACTTTTTTCAATATGGAAGTTACCTGTCAGTCAAGCTTTTGTGTCCTAATTGTAAAGATTTCTGAAATGCTGTCTTTGGGCTGAATTTGAACGTGAGATCTTTACCCGAAAAAAGGATGATCTCATTGTCAGTCATCTGGCTGTAATCTTTTTCATGTGATAGCTCTTATGGTACCCTTTGCTGTGGCACGAGAGCCTGGAATCTACATCTGCTTGCTGTGGTGTTAAGCTGTTCACGTAGCTTGTTGTTGACAGGGAGGACCACGTGTCACAGCTGGTGATGTCCTTCTTGTCTTGCCTAGTAAATCAATAATTGTTTCTCCTCGAGTTGGACTCTCTGGTCGTGCAAGACTAGGAGCTGGGTACAGTGATCCTGTGCGTGGTGGGATCATGCAGAGGAGTCCTTGAGGGTCCCCGAGTTAAAAAGAAGTGCTGGAAACTACTGCTCCCGGGACGTGCCCACAGAGCGCTGCGGGTTGCCTCTCCTACGGCTTCTTTTGCATTCTGGCTGTGTTCTTGTTGAACGTGGGTGATTTCTGGAAGGAAGATGGTAAAGGGTGGATGGATTAGCACCAGAATAATTCATTTGACCAACAGCCTGCACTGGCGAAGAAGGTAGAATTGCTGACAGGCTCTTTGTGGCCCAAAGGTTGGAGATGAGGCAGCCTTGTCTTACAGATCAGGGTGTCCAGTTTTGTGTAGCCTCTACAATGGCCTGTATAATAAAGTATATTTTCTGAATTGCGGTTAGCCAATACATGGCGAGTAATGTTAGTTAAAATCCTCATGGAGACTGGATACTTTAGAATTTCTGCATGTGTTGGGATGTCATACTAATTCCTAATTCCACTCACCTATTACATGTTGTGCCAGTATTTGTGAGAACTTCAAAGCATTTTTTCCTTCACAAAGATTTTTGTCTCCTTCTATAAGATGGCTCATTTCAAGCAAAAATAATGTTTTTTCCTTAATGAACACTCATTCCAATTGGATCAGGTTTTCACCAGTTCAACAAGTCATTTTGCATCTAAACAAAAAGGAAAGCGTTCAGAAATGCTTGATCAGGAAACCAGTAGTACTGCATAGAAGCAGTAGTGTTACATGTTCGTGGAAAACTATTCCAGAACTTTTAAGACTGTATTTTATATTTTGATTTTAATTTTAACTTTTATAGCCCATTTATATAATGTTTATTTGTTATGCAAATTTTCAAAACCCTCTTGTTTTTATAATAATTGATGACAAACTTTGGGTTATGTAAACTTCATTTTGGAAGCAAACTAAGTGGATATTGACAGCAGATGGCAGTCTTGGGTAAATTATTAGTGTAAACCTGCCATGGTTTTGAAAAAGGTGAGGTACGGTCTCCGGTTGTGTTAAGAGTAACATTGGGAAAACTTGAAACACTGGAAATGCAGATAAAGTAAGCCTGAAACATTGTTTGTACTCTATTTCAGAAAATAGGGATTTACTTTTATAGAGGAGCAATATGCATTAGTGTGCTTCTTTCTTTCTGGAGGTTTTAAATGAAATATAAAAGTGAATAATAAATGCATCAGCTTATTTCATTCGTCCTTAATTTCTTTTTTTTTAAGGGTAGGTGGTGTCACAGGTCGAATTCAGTTTAAAATTTTCCAGATAGAGAAAGATGTTTAGTTTTCATCTTGGAAAATGTAGACTTATTCCGTAATAAGATTGTTTAATTGCATTTTTATTTCTTTATAAACAAAACAGGTCATTGTCCTATAGGAATAATGGGCTGTTCCTGCACAGTTTCAGATAGAAAAGAAGGTTTGCTTATGCCTCTATGCGCGTTCATTGTTTTAAGAAGTTTTTCTTGCTAACTTACAGCTTATAGAAGATATGAGACATGAAACAGATCCCAATGCAGATGAAGTACCCAAACATTCTTCAAATGTAGCATGAGTATTTAAAATAAACTCTTACTCTGACTTGTTTGCCCATGGACAGGTCACATGATGTCTGTCATTTCCTCATAATACTTGTCCTTTTCTGGTGAGTAATTTTAGCTGTATGGATGAAACAAATACTCAAAAACCTTAGCTGAGAGGTGAGAACACTCAATCATAAAATCTGCTAGTGCAATTGTAGGATGTCTGAAGAGTGCCAGTGTGGTATCAGCTCCTTTTCCAAGTTCCTGAGATGCTCTCAACGTTTCAGCTGTCGTGGAGTCTGCACGGCACAACCAGACTGGGGCTGCTCCGGGTGAGCCGCGAAGAGCTTGCTGCTAACTTGCCCCAGCAGTGCGCGTATAGACTCTGTAAACTCAGTATGGTATGCACATTAAAAAGAATAGTTTATAGCCTTACTGATACTTGAAAATTGATCCCAGTATAAAGTATTTTGCCAATTCCTATGGTGTATCTATTGATAAAGAAAGATGCAGGCAGTGGCTCTGAGGGCTGCAATTCTTTGCAGGTGAAGTGACTCTTAAACACGTCAGTGAGCTTTCAAAATATCTGTGCTCTCACCGTTTCCAATTTGAAGAAGGATATCACTGTTCCCATTGTTCATGGGAAGGTTTGAAGCCAGTAGAGGACAAGAAAGATGTCACTTCTGGCTAATAAGTTACTAGTAAGAAGAAAGAGGAGGAAAGAAAGCTCTAACTACGTTTTCCTAGGAGTTCTGGAAAAAAACAATTTCCATGTAATTTCCAGGCCTCCAAGAGAGTCAAGTGGGATAAGCCATAGTTAAGTCTGGGTTTGGATTCTTTTTTATTTCTTACAAATGTTAACAGAGTTGGAAATGTGTCTTCTTCCTAATGCTTTAAATGAAGGCACCTCACTGTTGAGGGTACTTTCCCATTTGAAAAGGTAAGTCTTTCAAAAGTTGCCAAATATATGGATTTCAGGAGAAAGCTCATGGCATAAAAGACTTCTTCAGCAGTTTGTCATAATATTTGTTGCAGTTTTTCTTCTGTGCAAGACATATGATTGTATTTCCCTATAGGGGAGTAGGTTTTTCCACTCTTCCTCTCCTTTTGAATGTTTTAGTATTACGGCTCTTTTTTTGGCCTCCAACTCATCTACTGCTGCCTTAAAAAAAAGAAGTAATAAAAAATGGGGAATTAGCTAATGTAATACAAAGTAACTCTGGCTGCTGGTGAAATTTTGAGTGCAACTTTCCCTCTCTCTGGAACTTGCACCAGCAGCTGCCAGGCTGAGACGGGTATTCCTTGAAAACTGATTATTTCTCCCACCACTGTTTCCAGCGTACAGCTCTTACGCAGCTGCTGGGGTGAGGTATGGTGTTCGGTTACTTGTGTGCGCTACAAGGAATAGCCAACAATGATGTAGGGAAGATAAAAGGCAGCACTGATAGCGTTATGAAAATGTTTCTCGCTGTTTGTAATTTTCACAAATTTGAATGTATGGAGTTACAATCAGTATCGATGCAAATAATACCGTCTAGGGAAATTGCTACTTTTAAGTAGGTTATTTATTTGGTAACCATCCTTTCAGTGCATTTGGTGGGTAGCATGAGGACCAGCCATCTTTTTTTTTTGTTTGTTTAATTTAATTGAAGAAAATTCTGTATTAATTTTTCTAGTACTGGCATTCTTATATCATGACTTTTTATTCTACGCTACTGTCCTAACTATAAAATTAATCTGGTCCCTTCTTTGAGGAGTTTGGACCACTTTATGTTTTTATTTATGCATGTCTTTGGATTTATATTCTTTAAAACTAAGTTCTTGTAGTTATAATTACTATTTTCCTTGCTGATCCATTTGTTTTCTTGGTTTGACTTCCCTTTTAAGTAAAATAGCATTTCATAAATAGAACATTATGAACAGTCGATCTGTTAAACATGGAGGTGAATTGATAAATAGTGAATCAATTAGTAAAACCAGACAATCTGAATATGATTTTAAGCAGATGTAAGATTATGTGGCCCTTTACTCTTCTTTTACATGACATTAGTAGCATTGGCACTCATGGCGCTGTCATTGGCAGCATTTCTGTATACTGCATAAGGATTCCAGGTGACAAAAAGTAAATGCTTTTTTTTTGTGTGTGTGTGTCTTCTACGGGAGTCTGTTGTGTAGCTACCTGGGTTTTTAATGCAGTAGAAAAATTCTCTCTGAATTTGGCTGTGAGGTTTTGTGGCTGTATTTCTTTCCTTTCAGTATTTCAAGCTGATCCTGTAGCTGTTTGGATGTAGTACACCATCATACCATACATTAAACAGGAGCTTTTCTTTGTTTCTGGGAGGGGGACGTGGCAAAATGATTTAAAGGACAGACTTAGCAGGAAGTCTTTTCATTTTAGTTTTTAAATATATCCTTGGCTTTGGAGTGCAATCGTGGTCAAGGTGTTTCCATATTGAAGTGCTGCATTAAACGGCTGTAGAGGAAAAAATCACTGCAACTTAGCTTGGCATCGGGCATTGTCGGTGGTTGTAAATGGGAAAGACATGTTATGTTCAGGCTACAGTCTGCAATTAATGGTGATTTTAACCATTTATTTTCAGTGATTATGTAAGAACAACTTGTTTGTTGCAAAATGCGATGTTTAATTCTTTGCTTGCACCCTTGCAGGCAAAGGGGCTGATTTGAGCAAGCCACCGTGTCGAAAAGCAAAGGACATACGGAAAGAAAGAAAACTGCAGAAACTCCTTCAGAACCAGATGTGCACGTTTGAAGGCTCTCCACTTCAAGCAGGAGATCAAGTTTTCCTCTTGCAAAACTCTAAATCTAAAACAAACCAACCTAAAACCATTGAAGACTTTGTTTTTGTCTCTTTACCTGATGATGCACCACACAAATTAGAGGTAACGTCTCATTCGCTGTTGTTGCAGGCAAATTAAGGAAAAGTCTAGTTAAGGGGTTTTTTAAATGCTTAGGTGTTTCGTATCTGTGACTTTATGGAATGGTTGTAGTTTAAATCTTGGAATATATGTGGTACTGCCTGATATCTATATGGTGCAGCTGAGCTCTGTGTAACCACAAGAGGGTGCTCTTGCACTTGCAGTCAGTCGCAGCTGAGTGCAGTACAGTTCCCAAAATAACTTGTAAATTGGTTTCATACAGTGTGACTTGAAAATGAAAGACTTGGAATTAACGGAGTGTTGAATGATGAGAGAGGTTCAATATTTAGTTCTGCAGTATATAAATACTTAAGCTATCTATGCTAATGAATCTTGACAAGAAAGCAGTAACTGTTCGTAAAATTAAACAGATAAGAAGATAGCTGCTCTTTATAAACATCGTTGATATGTGTTGATGTCTTTGGAAGCTGTAAAAGTGATGGTAGAAAATGCTGCTTAATACAGTGGTTGCCATTAAATCTGTTAGTAATATGGAGACAGTCATCTGGAAGACTTTTGGACTTTCTAACCCATAAAATCATTTTTTTTTCTTTTTTTTTTTCTTTCTTTTTTTTTTCCTGGAAGCTGGAAAACTATCTGAGTATAGGTATTTTCCTGGAGTTACTATTATCAGTGATGGTGTTGGAAGATAAATTTTTTAATATTCTTTTGGTAATTGTTCAAAGAGATAGTGATGATGACTTAAAAGATTCACTTTGAATAACTGACAAGAAGCTGTGAAATGGATCCATCTCACTGACTCCTCCAGATTCTCTGATGAGTCGTATAACAGAAGTACGACGACTTTGTCTGAACATCTTCATTTAGAAGATGCAGGGAGAATTAAAAGGAGGATGGTTCCAGCAGTGTTTTCCTAGATTGTCTTTGCTCCTTACTATGGTTGTCAAGTGTGGTGTTTTGGTTGTTTTTGGTTTGGCTTTTGTTTTTTTTTTTTCTTTCTTTTTTTTTTTGTAGATCAGAACCAATGCTATTTTTGAAATTAGAACCATACTGAAAATTAAGTGCTTTTTGAAATGGAACATGTCCTTAAATATGCTTGAAAAGAAATGCACTGTTGTTCATGTGATAGCATTCTTTTGGTTAAGGAGCAATCACTTTTACTAAAACCAATTTTTAATTTGTAGATTTTGTAAAAATAATTGTCTTATTTTTGTGTGTGTAAGGGTGATGGTGGGGAAGATGGATAACTTCCTATTACAATTAATTCATAATTGAATATGGAAACATTGTTTCATCTTCCTCTTTGAATTTGAAAAATATCAATAAATCCCCGTGGGATTATTGCAAAAAATCATGGTCTTTATCTAAAGAGCACAGATATGAGTCTTCCAGATGCCTGGGTCCTTCAAGTATTTTTCAGTGTAGCATGAAACTATGAGAGAGGATTTTAAAAAGTACAGCAAATATCTTTAAAATGTCAATCTGCATACCATTTGTTGGTATTATTTCCTGAAAACTATTTGTGTAGTTCTCCTATAGGCATTTTAGCCATCTTAATTTGCAGTTTGAAAACGTTATATGTTATTCAGTGTAAATATAAAAGCCTTCAGTAGCCTAAATTGAGCTGAAGAATTGGAAGGCTGTTGGCTAAGATTAATTAAATTGTTAGGGCCCTTGTGCAGGAATTCAAAATGTCTCTCTGTTGTGATGTTTGTGTATGTATTTAGTTATTGCATGATGTTGTAATAATAAATGTGTTTAACTTCTTCTGAAGGTGAGGGTGGTGAGATCATCTCCACCAAGTTCACAGTTCAAAGCCACATTTCAGGAGTCTTACCAGGTCTATAAACGTTACCAGATGGTTATTCACAAGGACCCACCTGATAAACCAACTATAAATCAGGTCAGAAGGCCAAATTAATTTTATGGAAAGCTCAGCTTCCCCTCTATTTCATGTGTCTTGTTTGTAGGAGAAACAAATGTGGATTTTATATCCATTGCATACTCAGGCATGTGTCAAATACTGTGTCAAAGAAAATCAACGTCCTGAAAGTGCAAACTCTTTTGATACCTCTTTGTGAGTGCCACAAATATTTGGTCTTAATTGCAGACAGAAAAGTTAAGGAAGTTACGTGGGGATGCTGTTGGGTAAGAGATGGAGAGGATGAAGCTTTTGGAGATAGATATTGTGGGCCTTATAAACACAAATCTCATAAGAACTAAAACCACCTGGACACCCTAATAACTAGCCTCGTTGGCTCTGGTTTGAATGCTTCCATAAGGAGGAACAAGCATGATCAGGGCCAGCATGTGAGTGAAGAATTTATCACACAGAGAAATTGTTGGTTTAAGGTTCGCAGATGTTTTATAAACCTCTTCATTTTCAATATAAGCCCTTCAAGGAGTAATCAGCACGCTCCATCTAAACTACACATTGTTACCGCTTGTTGTAATGACCAGGCGGTGTGTAATAGTTAGCTGTCAGACATACTACCTCTCTAATACTGCAAAGAAAAAAAATTCAGGCGCTGGGAGAAAAAGTTTATGTAGCAAGAATATGTAATTGCCAAACTGGGGCAATGAGTGATGTGCCATTAAAAAGAATACATTTTAAAAGTCCTTCAGACCGTACAATGAAAATGAAATTTGTGGTTGATTTGTTAGATAACTTGGTCAAAAAATAGGTTCAATAAACTGGTGCTTTGAAGTGTTGTAGTGTTACACAATTTTTATTCTTGAATGAAAGTATCGACGGTCAGTTGAAGCTTAGTGTTAGTTGTCAGGCTTTCCCCCGTGGGAGGATTGTCTTGTTACTATGTTTGAAGTAGAAAACTGACTTCAGAGGCTTTGAAGTGGATAGGAGGAGATCTTTCACTAGCCTTACCTTCAGAAGCATATTATCTGATTATATGCACTCAAAATAGCATGCTTGTATTTTCCTTGCTCTGAAGGTGAGGTTAGTACCTGTTTCCTTTGAGGACCCCCAGTTCAAATCATCCTTCAACCAATCAGCCTCTTTATTTGCCAAGTATCAGATGGCTATACACAAGGATACACCTTCTGAGTGTGGCGAAAATGAGGTACAGTTCACTGCATGCACCTTCATGAAAACATCTTTTTAAATGCACAGTTAAATGCTGGGAAATGCTGTCTCTTAGAGTGATTCTAAATATTAAAATATTGCCCTTTCCATGTGGGAGGGAAAGCGTTGTGGTGTTTAGCAAGCTTCTGTTGCAGGCTTCAGTCCAGGGGAAACGGAGTTGAAGAGAGAAGGATTATATACCACCATAACTAAAAAACTTTTAGTAATGAGTTAAGTAGAGCTGCTGTTTGTACATGATTTGTAAAGAGGTCTGGGACTTGAGATTTCCACTGGAAATGGGATAATAGTATGGAAGTGCTTTTCTGATGGCAAAAGCATCTTCTGCTTTAAAGCTGTTTGGTACCTTTTCCACATTTCTCCTTAATTTTTTGTTGACTTGCTTAATTTAACAGGTGAAGGTTTAAAAAAATCTCAGTTTTATTCACACTTCGTTGCTAAGCATACCTCTCAACTAGAATTCACCTTTGCAGTAGAAATAGTGCAAAAATATTCCCGCCAGCTGATTGTCTGAGATTCAGTGAGAGTATCTTGTATAAGAATAAAACCTGCTTTTAAAATGGTGTTTACGGGATGCTAATCCTAATCTAATAAGTTAAAAAAAAAAAAAAAAAAGTACTTGTAGGGTTCTAAACAAGCAGCTATTCTCCATTTCTCTGGCAGGTGGCACAAGATTTGCATTAGTAGAATTAATGAAGCTGCTGCCTCAGATCTGTCATTTCTATCTACTGCAAATATAAGACTTCAATATTGATCGACTCTCTAGTCAGACATTTCTGTTCTTGACAGCAATACTTGCAGAAGTGATACCTAGTAAGCTGTGGCTGCTTTCCAGGTAGAATAATAAAACCATGTAATCATTTTTGGCTCTAGGTCAAAAGAGTGTAAGGAGAGCTTTTTTGTGAGATCTCTCTAATGCTACTGTGGAAAGCCATAAAATTTATTCCACTTTGTTTTGTGAAATAATAGGACTCATAACACTATGTAGTAGTCTCTGCCCTTTTTATAATTGCTGACATAAATTGGGTTAATTATAATAAGGTAAAAATTGGGAACATACCAAGAAAGATTGAGCTATTTACTAGATTGGTACCAGGCATCACCTGGCCTGAGTAGGGACTTGATTTGTCTGCTACAATGAATGTATTTCAGCCCTGATGCTTAGAGCGTATGTTCCACCATGCTTTTGCTCTGAAAATCTTGCTGCTGCAGAGAGGGTGGTAAGAACTTCGTATACTTGCTTATTCTTCGTTTAAAATTAAGATTTTTTTTTTTTTAATGCAATCATTACATCATGAAGAATCAAGAGCAAAATCATGATGGCTGCAGTTCAGCTCTGAATAGCAGCTAGCTCTCAGTTAATTTAATCCCTGTTTGGGTCAGAGTGCATGGTTTGGTGCAGACTTGGGTTTGATGGCCTTAATTGCCCATGGAACTTTGTTTTTCAACCGAGGGAGTCTAGGGGAGGAAAGATTATAAAGGTACATTAAGGACACTTCTGGTTTCTACCACCTTAAGGTGTAAAGTCAGTCATGGGAGTTCCTGTTGAACAGGAAGGAGGTGGATTTCTGTGCATACTGCTCATAGTTTAATGGGTTCTTATCCTCATCTTTTTCCTTGTTACTTGCCGTAGGCATTTCCCTACTCTGCCTTTATCTTCTCTCTCTTGCATCATGTTTGTTCAGGTAATATTCCAGAGGAGACATAGGATCTTCTCTGAAGCTTCTAGTAAATGTCAAAACTCGGTCTGATGCTGATGGCTTTTAATTGAGGCCCTTCTTTAGCACTGGTAAATTATCTTGTGTGTTCATGTGACTATCTGGCTAAGAAGGTCTTTCTACTGACAGTTATTAGGCACTAAAGGTCTGTCACTTCAATCAAAAGCATTTTGTATTTGATGCCTGCAAGAAGTAAACTGAAGAATACTTTACACAAAATGTTTTGATGTAGGTTAGAAGCCTTTTTTCTTTTGTTGTTGTGGGTTTTCTTTTTTTTAATACTGAATTTGTGTGGGAGGAGAATTATCTAAGTCACTTTTAAGAACAGAAGATACCAAGTAGGGTAAAACTGATCCAAGTTATTGAGAGAAAGGGTGGAAAATGCTATTTGAAAGACCTGAAACTTTTTCTTCTTCCTGTTTTTCAGACTTTTTAATATATCATACAGACACTATGGAGCCAAGCGGTTCTTTAAGTAAAGGTAGAATGAAATTCTGTCCTATACACAGGGCTTTTTATCAGGGTAGTAACAAGTCTGCTTTGGGCTTTAAACTGGCAAATGTCCAGGAATTTTTTTGCTCTAAAAATTAAATTTAGCTTTTAATCTGTGCAAGCTAATATATCTGTGTATGGTAGGTGAACCTCCTTTTCAGGGAGAGTCCTGCACACTTTTGTGTTTGGAAAGTTTCTAGTTTAGGAAACGTATTTAATTTTATATTTGGCTGAACACTTCATATTCAGAAACCTGCCTATATTTAAATTCAGAATCCAACAAAAATTTTTATGGGACATATTAACAACAACTTTTTGGAATATATTCTTAGATCGTTGGCACTGCAATAACTGTCTGCCTATATTAGATGCTAGACTAATTTAATATTAACCTTATTACATTAAGAGGCAATCTTAGGAATAGATTTAGAATTTTGGTGATTATTTGAAAATAACACTAACGCAGAAAGTTATAAAACGGTTCACAATATTAACAAAAGGTATGTGAACCATGAAGCCGATTATTGCTCAATGAGTGTGAAAGGAGGCCCTCTTTTTGCACCTATGCAATGTCTCTACATCTTTTCGTCAAGATTTTATGTGAGAAAGGGGACTAGATCATTTCCAGGGCAGAGAATCCATTGAATACTTGACACCAAAGATTTCTTTGAACTTCTAGGCACTCTCTGGTTAATGCCAAACTGAGGCCAGTGATAACTGGCGTTTCAGTGCCCGTCAAGATGATGGCTCTTTTCAAATTTTGCCTTTTCCTCCTTTCTTTCTTCTCTCCTCCTGCATCTCTGATGGAGACTTCAGTAGCACTAATAATAGTGTGTGTTCATTACGCAGAATCTAGTTTGCGATTCTGCTGAGGAGAGTCCTGCGATGCATTTTAGTGATGCAGGACTGATTTCTGATTGAGGCAGTAACTTCTATATGTTCTAATAAAAAGCAAGGTAGAAATTTCATGGTGGAATAAACTTTTTCCAAGTGCCAGAGTTGGTGTTACCCCTGCGGTGACGAAACTTGCCTTTTCTGTGGAAGCATCATTACAATCTTCAGTGCTGCTCTCATGGGCGAGTAGAGGATTTGGTAAGGTAGAAGTATGTTTGCTATCTGCCAAATAAGTTAATATTCTAGGAACAGTTTTGAGTATTTCCTTGCTCCTGGGATTAAAACCAGTTTAGCTTGCAAGTGAAAAATTTTCAAATCTGTTTTTGTCTTGACATAGAAGCTACAACTATATTCTGCATAGGCTTTTAAACTCTTGATTATCCCCTTTTCTCTTAGTTTGTCTGGTATAAATTGAACTTCCCTTGGAATCTTCTCAACCCTCTCAAAGGCCTTTGGTCAGTTGCTACAGCTTTTCAGCTTCAAAACTGACCTGGCTGTCTGTGCGTCGGAGTGCAGTCAAGTACTGATGTTACGCAAAGTTGTTGGCACCTAAGAATATTTATGTCAGCATGTTTTCATTGAATTGAATTGGTGTCCTGAGGAAAAGCATAGCAAACGATTTTCTAATTAAAGGTTGCTTCATAATACTTGCTCTTAAGTAGTGCTGTGGAAGAACTGATTTTTCAGGTTTTTTTTCTCTGTGGGAACACAAAACCCTATTAAGCTGCTATGTAAATGCATAGTCATCCACTGTTTTAGTAATATAAGTGCTCTTATCTTAAAATGAGTTGTTGGAAAAAATCAGAAGAATTAGGGGGAACCTCAACAGATGATTAAGTGGTATAAAGTAAAGTATAAAGAGCTTCTGAACGAGGTAAGATACAGTCATGGAAAATGGGTGTATCACTGCTTATTGGAGAAGTTTATCCAACGCTACTCTTGAATTAGCCAAGTCCCTGAACTGCTCATTTTTGGAAGCTGTGAAAATGTGCAAGGGAAGAATCTGTTTTAGAGTTTGTCACATTCGATGTATTTCCTCTGGCCCTTTATGGAAGTGCTGTACATGGACCTTTATCTCGTGTCCAAGATAGTAGTTGCCATGTACTGTTCCCAATATAATAGAGCTATTATTCACTAGCTTTTTGCCGGGCGGGGGGGGGTTGGGGTTTTTTTGCTAAAGTAGTGGAAGACTATAATCATGTTTAGTATGAGGATCTGTGTCTATAACATTCAAAAAGCTACTCATGTAATCAATTCCAGGGATTTATTTAACATGTCTACAAGTTACTTGTTTGGGTTTTATTCTGCTTGGCTGGTGGTTATATTTATTTTGTGAAATGAGTCAAGCTGTAATGAAAAAAATTGAAATCATGAAAGCTTAGAAAAACTGAAAAAGGGAGACTTCTATAATGAACAGAGAGGAGATAGTAGGCCGAGCATCCTTTCATTGAACAGGCGTGGTTTCCCTGTATTACCAGTGAAAGATCAGTTGGAACACAAATTATAACGCTGATCAGCAGATCAAGAGTACCATAATTATGCAAACAAATTGTATGAGTGGAGGTTTGTCTACCTTTTTTTTTTTTTCATTTATCATAAGAAATTTAATAAATCATAATATAGGTTTGTCATAATAATTCATGCACAGAGAAATGGATAAATATGGTTTTGGAGCCTGTATTTTTTTTTTTTTTAATTGAGTAAATTTTAATAGCATTTGGTTATATTTCTGGGAAAAAATGTGTATATTAGTGTATAGAAGGATGATCTGAGAATAAGACAGAAGAGTGAACTTTTTATGTGTCTTGTATAATCCCAAGAGGCAGAAATACTTTGATAATTGAATCAAGCGCTGGTGCTAGACAGTGCTAGTGGA